GCTCCTTCAGCTATGCCCGGGCTGGGTGAGCAGTTGTTTGAATGGATGGTCAAGGTGGGGAGGCCTTCCTAGCTGGGGAGGTCAGAAGGGCAGACTCTCACCTGGGAGCTGGAGAGAGGATGGGCTTGGAGTCCTGCTCTGCCACCCACTCTCGGTGGGCCCTTGGGCAGGCCCCTTGCCCTATATCCCTGTCTCCCTTGTATTCTGTTTGCACTCAAAGGGCTGGACTGGGAGTGGCAGCAATTCTCAAATATGAGCCCTTCGCCGGCCGACTTCAAAATGTTGCCATCCCCTTGTATGATTTCATTCATGATGTATCTATAAATGAATTTTCTTAACATTTACACTTAAATGAGATTAAAGGAGTAACTTTATATTACCACCATAGTTGTAAAACCATTATCACTATGCATTCATAAAAGGAAACCATAAAACATAAATTGTAGCTGAAACTGTTGCCCCAGAAAGTTCTGAACCTCGAGGCTTGCTCTCTTTATCAAAGTGGGAGAGTAGCAAGTATTGGAGGGATGCTAAAGACACACTAGTATTAGCACCCAATGAAGATTTTCTCCATTTAACCTAAAGGACTGAAAAACTCGTGAAAGGAGATGAATTTTCTCATCAGGTGCTATTTAATGCTTTAATGTATTAACTAAAAGTATCACATAAAATATCAGCACTCCTGCCCTGGTTGGGTGGCTCAGTTGGTTGGAGCGTCATCCAGTACACCATAAAGGTTCTGGGTTTGATTCCATCAGGGCACATACCTAGGTTTCAGGTTCCATCCCCATCCGGGCATGTACAGGAGGCAACTGATCAATGTTGCTACTCCCCCTCTCTCTCTCTCTCTCTTTCTCTCTCTCTCTCTCTCTCTCTCATTGGATAGATATATCACCCATTTCTAAAGAGGCAGCTTGGGAATCCCAGGTCCTCCCAGGAGTTCCAGGCTCAGGAAGGGTGTGCTCAGGAACACCCAAACCTTCTCTGTGGGCACCCTGCCTGCCTGGACAGAGGTTGTCTGCAATAACATTGCTATCAAATCAGGAGCCCCTGCCCAATACACAGCTCTCCATCAGATGTGGTCCATCTCCTCCGTCAGACTGGGAGCTCACCTGGACCACATCCCTCTTGCCCCTGACTCCTCTCCAGCGCCCAGCCCAGCAACAGAGGGTTCAGGGAAGGGCTGGTCAGGGACACCCACCTTGTCGATGAAGGCAGCGAACCTGCTGTTGAGACACTTGATCTGCTCCTTCTCCTCATGCTTCACGCACTGCGCGTTGGGGTCGATCTCCAGGTTGAGGGGCGTGAGGAGGCTCTCATTGACGGACACGGTGGTGATGCAGGGCGGGCTGGGCCCGCACACGCCGCCTGAGCGGTATCCGAAGCTGCGTCCACAGGAGCCAGAGCGGAAGGTGCCGCAGACGCTCTGGCTGCCAAAGCCCCCTGTGAGGCCGCGGTAGCAGGAGACCCCGCGGTAGGGGGCGGCGGTGATGCAGCAGCGACCGGGCCGAGGCCCGCAGGCGGAGGCGCAGCTGAAGTTCCTGGGGCCAAATCCACAGCCCACGGAGGGGTGGAGAAGCAGGACATGGTGCGACGGCGGCGGCAGTGAAGGGCACTGAACCCCGAAGTCGGCGTGGAGTCTTATATCGCTGCCCGCTGGCCCGGGGAGGGAGCGCGCAGCCAGCGCATTTATGAGCTTGGAGGTCGGCCCTGGTGCCCAGTCCCGCTGGGAATCAAAGCGGGCCGGCCGCCTGGCTGCCTCCATAAAACAGCGTTCGCCCCCTCGCCCGGCTTTATGGGGCCCAGAAGTGCCCGGTCAGCTCCGCCCGCCCTGTGCCCAGGGCTCAGGGCGGGCCCGACACCCCTCTGCCAGACTCGGCCTGACTAGCGCTGGGTCTTTGGCTCCATCCCCAGGCTGGGCAGCTGGGCGCACCTGGCCCCTCTTTGGGTCCCAGCCCTGCGAAACCACCCTTCAGGCTGGGAAGCCTTGGTCTTAGTTTTTTGTGCATTTCCATATGGTGTGTGGGGGCGTGCGTGTGTGTGTGTGTGTGTGTGTGTGTGTGTGTGTGTTTTGAAGGGAAGGGGTCTTTGAGGAACATTTTCTTGTCATGACCTGGAAGGTGAATAACCTTTCTGAACCTAGTTTCCTCATGTGCAAAATAGGGATAGTAATGGTGCCCATCTGAGAGTTGTTGGGAGGACCTAATGAGATAATGGACAGGAAAGCAGTTAGGGCCCTACCTCTCTCTTAATGAAAGCCCCATAAATGTTTGTTTGTTTGTTTGTTCTGTTTATTCTACTATTATTGCTTTGCCATTCATCCTGCCCCCTCCCCCTTTGGGCAAAAACTTTCTCTTCTTTTTTTTTAATCAGAACTCAGCTTATGGCTCCTCTCCCTGTGAGTATAGCACCATCCCTTTCCCCTTCCCCTCCCAGAAACTGTTTCCTGTCCCCCTCTCCATTCTGCTGGGTGGAGGGGAGGGAGTTGCATATGGAGTGCCTACAGTGTGTAAGGGCTTTAAAATGCATTATTTCATCCTCCTGAGGTTTACCTGATTAGGAAGGTGAACTCAGAGTGGCCCGGTGACTTGTTTAAGGTCATGCATAGAAGGCTCCATAGAGAGGGAGGGTCAGCTTGAAAGGTGGCTCCCAGCGCTCCCCCACTCTGGGCGCTCCCCCACACCGGCCCCTCCCAGGGTCTGAGTCTTTGGGTGCTGAGAAGGGTTGTGGTCCTCTAGGAGGCAGGGGCCAGGGCTGCTAGGCTTTGGGCTTTTAGAGAAATCGGCCTCATCCAACGCCTTTCCTTCAGCTGGTGCTTGGTCATGGCCACCAACTCCAGAAGGCCAAACCTATCATAATAGAAGTTGATTATGTGTCCAGTTATGGGCAGAGGAAACCAAAGTGTGAACTCAGCAGCCAATATTAAAAAGAAACATGTAAATTATTCTTAGCTTCCTTTGTTTTTACATATGAGTTATTATTGTGCAAAGGGTAATTAAATCCTGGAATTCAGAGGTCATCATGGCTGCAGTGCCTGCCTCTGGCTGCCTGGCATTCCATTTCCAGGGAGTGCCCCATTGCCCCCTTTCCAACACCCTTGAGAGCCCCAAGCCCTTTGGTTCAGCCTTGGCTTAGTGGGAGTTTCAGCCCAACCTTAGTTCTGTCCTCTGTAGAAGGTGGAGCCCAGCTCCCCAGTGTCTTGTGCTCCTACTTCCAGCTGCAGCTGGAGTCAACAGCTGTGTGATTCATGACTTGAGGATAATGTATTCCTACTCCAAATTTCTCCAGGGAATGGTGGTATTGGTGACATCTTCCTTTGGTGTCCCGTCCTGAGAGGAAATGGACTTACCCCGAAGCATGGAGGCCTTAAATTAGTCCTATAGAGGTACGTATGTGATTCTTGCTTGGACCTCTTTCTGGGTTTTGGTGGGTCGATGGGTAGGACTTTCTGTGCTATCACAATCAATGAGATTCGTAATCAGCCTTTGTCCACACAGATAATTAAGTGCATTAACATCCAGAGAGACCAGAGGGCTGCGGGTTGATGTGTGCCCACTCAGAACACAAGCTGAAGGGGAGGGAATTGAAGGTCTGACAGCTGGAACACAGTGGTCCCCCAAAGTGTCAGTACCAGTCTCTGACTGAGCCTCAGGGACACACGCGCCCTGCTCTCTCTTTATTATTCTGGAACCCATGCACTGGAGATGGGCTTTAGCATGAGCATTCAGACACACCAAGAAGAGATTTCCCTACAGAGAGGGTTGGTAGTTCTGCTTCCTTGGGGAAGAGGAGGGCTGTTCTATTCTTGGCCAGCTCTTCTAGAAATCATTTTCTAACCCCTTTATCGCCAGTCCATCAGTCTACTGATGAAAAGCAAATGCTCCGTCTTGGTTGTCAGGTTTCTTCTTAACCCCCATCCCCTCCCAGGAGGCCCCAGGAGCCAATTCAATGCAGGTGCAAACATCTGCTGAGCACTCAGGAGGAACCTGGCTCCAGGCATGAAGGAGGAGATGGCAGTCCCCAGGCAGGGCAGGCAGGCACAGGGGGCCCGGATACACAGCTGCAGGGTGTCTGGCTCTAATGGAGGAACACCGTGCCAGCGGGACTTGGAGGAAGAGTGAGCCTCAGTTCCCGGGCTTGGGGCCAGAGGTCAGGCAGGGTCTTTGGAGAAGAACACAGTTTGATTGGACCTGAAGAATGGTGAAGAACTCAATGTGCTGAGATGAGTGAGAGAGGGGGAAAGATGTAAGCAACGACATAAAGTAACTGAGGCTATGGATGTGACAGGAATAGCTGGCAGTTCACTTTAGCTGAAAAATAGGAGCTGGAGAGGGCAGGGGGAAAGGCGGCAGGCTGGGGCTAGATGGTGGATATGGTGGCTGGATGGGGCGGGCTTAGAATGTCAAGCTGAGCACTGGAGGTGCTTGACCTGGAGAGCGCCATGATCAGAGGTGAGCGAGCCAAAGGGATGGGGGATACTATATGGAGTGTATGTGTGTGAATGTGTGTGTGTATGTCTAGTTTTGGTAACCCAAGGCATCATTATGAAACATCTTAAATATCAATGTGCCCATTTAAGACACACTTTTTTCCCCCTTCTCTGTGGTGTAGTGATCAAGAGTGTTTCTGGAATCAAATACAACTAGGTTCAAGCCCGAGCTTCGCCACTTACCATCTGGGTGAACAATTACATAACCTCTCTGAGCCTCAGTTTGATTTGTGTCTAGAATGAAGACATAAAACTTGCTCAGGGATGGGGTGAGGATAAAGTGAGGTGTGTGTAAAGCATTTGTAGAATGCCTGGTACATAGTAAGTGGCCAATAAATTCTAACTACTATTATTATTGTTGTTGTTATTTCTCCTCTATTGCGGATACCTGCTCTGGTGACCACCCCAGCCCCTCCCCCATGCCAGCCTGCTCCTCCAGGTCTGGGTACTGTTTGGGACTAGCTCTCCACAAAGGTTCTGAGTTATCCTTATTGTCCCTTTGCAGGTGTGAGCAGCTCCCAGGACAGTGTTGTTTCTGGGGACCTCTCTGCCGCCTGTACCTGTGGCACCAGATACAGTGGGATGGGAGCCTGTAGCAGCAGCTGTAAGAAGGGTTAAGTTGGCAGGGCTTGAAGAAACACCCGAGCCTCCAGCCCTCCCCCTGCACCCAGAGGGTCCCAGCTGGCCCTTATGCCCAACCCACCCAGGTGCAACCCAGTGGCAGGTACAACTGGTTGATCTCGCTTTGACCTATTTTCTCTGCTGTCCACTTCTCATTTCTTTCTTTCTTTTTTTTTAAAGTATCATGTTTTCCATTTTATTATTTATTTATTTATTGTTAATCCTCACCCAAATATATTTTTGCCTTAATTTTTAGAATGTGTGGGAGGGGGAGAGACAGAGAGAGGAACATTGATGTGAGAAAGACACATTGATTGATGGTCTCCCGCATGCACCCCAACCAGGGCTGGGGATCACGCCTGCAACCGAGGTTCATGTCCTTGACTGGAATGGAACCTGGGACCCTTTGGCCAATGGGCTAACGCTCTATCCACTGAACCAAACTGTCTGGGGCCACTTCTCATTTCTTGTTGTGTGAGAACCCCACTCCTTGTCTTCTGCCTCCCCCAGGCCAAGAAAGGCTGCTGGGAGGAGTGACATGTGGATTTCTTCTGTGGATTCTGGGCTGCCTGGACCCATGAAGAGGACAGCCTCTCAGCCCCCGTCTCCCGACCTTCCCCTTCCCTTGCACTTTTGTTCTTCCCTTCCTTTCTCAAATCTCCATTTCCTCCTTGCTGTCTGTGCTTAAAATAAAGTCACATATTCCTGTCATGCTTGTCAATCTCTTGTCCATTATTTCAGGCCTGGAGGGTTGGGTGGCATCTCCAGGAGGGCATTCAAGGTGGCGGGGGCTGCTAGGGTTATGCCAGCTATTTATGCATCGGTGTGCTTAAGGCTGGGGACATTGAGGAGGGGTGCTCTGATGGCTCAGGGATCCTTGAGGTAATTCTCAAGTGCTAGGAAATGTCTGGCACAGTGTTGGCTCAGAGCAGGCACTGAGCAATGTTAAAAGAATTAATGACTTCATCTCTAAGGTTTCCAATTTCCCATAGGTCAAAATATACATCATTGCATACATCATTGGAATTGTTGCAAATTGAGATATGTGGGAGAGAATATAAATTTTTTATATATTGCTGGTCAAAGAATAAATTACTATAATGACTTTGGCAAATAATTTTGTGTGTGTTGTAATGTGTATGTAGATACTGATTCATGACATAAAATATATTTCTTACTTTGAGTTGTGGTTAAAAAAAGTTGGATAGTCAAGACCTTAAAGATCCTCTTTCTGAGTATACCACTAGATATGTACCAAAAAGTTCATAGCAACATTGTTTCTTATAACAAAAAGAAAAATATACACATGCATACCTATAGGAGAATGGAGAATTATTCATACATTGGAATACTGTACAGCACTGAAAAAGAAATAGAAATAAATGGATGAATCACAAAAATAGGATGTTGAGGAGGAAAAATAAAATTATAGAAGCATATA